TGATCACATGAGCGGGACAACACACAGAGTCCCATACAACGATCGTTGTTCGACTATGTCTGGAGGACACAGTGGGCACCGGATCGCGTGCCGTGGGAGCTGTGCTGTGCGCTCTGGGAGCGCGCCCAAGCAGGGAGTGGGGAGAACGTTTTTTATATACATGGGCAGGACGGGAAGTGGTTATCAGGTGCTGTCTGTGAACGAATGAACTGCAAGTCCCGACATCCTTAGCGGCTGTGGGCTTGTAATTTTCAATGAACTACCACGGTACTGTGAAGCGCCATTGAAGCTTCCTGTCAGAATATCTGCTTTCTCGTACATCCCGTACGTCCCACGGCGCTGTGGAGCACCCTGGTAGTTCATTGAAGCTTCCTGTCAGAATATCTGCTTTCTCGTACATCCCGTACGTCCCACAGCGCTGTGGAGCACCCTGGTAGTTCATTGAAGCTTCCTGTCAGTATATTTTCTGGGCTGTACATCCCCTACGGCAAGCAGAGACCTGCATGGCATCAGGAATCTCCTGATCACTGGTACAATGCTTTCCAGACTCCATTGGACAAAAATAAATGCACATTTTTTTTTAATCTACAATAAAATGTGCATTTTTGTCTAAAAGGTGAACTTATCCTTTAATTTGTGTGGCTTAAATCGCACTGCACCGCATGAAAAAGGTGGACTATAAAGATGAACTTTACACAAATATAAGAGCACCAATGATGCAAATATGTAGAAATCAAAAATATTATTTACACGTTTTTTCATTCAACTAGTGAAAGTATCTGAAATTAATAAAGTACAGACATTCGGGAGAAGCTGCCACAAATTTCCACAGTACTTTAAAGCCATTCTAAAAGGTTCATTTTTTTTTTTGTAAAACAACAAATATATCTATACTTACCTGCTGTGTGCAGTGGTTTTGCACAGAGTAGCCTGGATCCTCCTCTTCTCAGGTTCCCTGCAGGCTCTCCTGGTTCCTCCTGCCTATCAGGTGCCCCCACAACAAGAAGCTTGCTATGGGGGCCCCTGCTGCTACGTGTGTCCATTCACACACGGAGCTGCGGCTTGCCCCCCCCCATTGGCTCACGGGCTGTGAATGACAGCCAATGGCTCCCGCTTGCCATCTCAGCCGATGAGCAGGTAGAGACCCGGGAAAGTCGAGGCTGTTGTGCACATTGATGGATTGCGATGAGGCTCAGGTAAGTATTGCGGGGGCTGGGGGAGCTGTTGCACACAGAAGGTTTTTTACCTTCAAGTATAGAATGCATGAAGAGAAAAAAAACCTTCAACCTTCACAACCACTCTACTGCCTATTGACCAGTGGCACATTATGTACATTGGATGATGTATACTGGCGGATATACATATGAGAAGCAGTGCAATCACCTGATCGAGGCTTCTCCTTTCCCTTCTTGCCTTTCTGGCCGCCATTATTCTCTGCCTTTCTGTGTCGCAGTCCCTCCTTCCCTTCTGATTTCTCATCTTCTTTATCTTTCGATTCATTGGCCTTGGCTTCCTTTGGAGCTGTAACAAAGCAGAACAGATGTCATCTACACTCTGACCTTGAAAAATAAAGAGCAACCGAAAAAGACTCAGGGCAGACGATGTCTGCAGCTAACCGGCTTTTACTGCAGATTTAACATTTATTCTAGTAAAAAAAAAAAAAACACAAAACAACGAAAACAAAAAAATATGCAGTATGCATTTTTTAAAGCAGCTCTCAAAAGCTGTTGTGTGCTGCTGTGCAGTGTTGATGTATGCGGCAATACACTTTTCTTTCACAAAGTTGTATTAGGTTTTTTATATGTTTCAAGAGGTACAATAAAGATTTGCCCAATGAATAAAATTCAAAATACTAACAACTTACAAAGCAATCCACAACTCTGCCCCCAGCTACATCACCAACCTGGTCTCAAAATATCAACCAAACCTCTATTTTCGATCCTCCCAAGATCTGCTGCTCTCTAGTTCCCGTGTCACCTCCTCCCATGCTCACCTCCAGGACTTCTCCCGAGCTTCTCCCATCCTATGGAGCTCTCTACCCCAACCTATCCGGCTGTTTCCTAATCTATCCACCTTTAGATGATCACTGAAAACCTCTTTAAAGAAGTCTATCCTGCTTCTACCTAGTAAACCGCCATTTATTTCCTTGATCAACTCATCCCCCCCCACAGCTATTACCTTTTGTATCTCTCAACCCTTCCTCCTGGATTGTAAACTCTAACGAGCCGGGCTCTCTTCTTCCTCTTGTACCAAATTGTATTGTAACTGTAATGTCTACCTCCATTTTGGAAAGCGTTGCGCAAATACTCTTGCCGCTATATAAATTCTGTATAATAATAATTTTAGCAAATATAAACTGCTAAATACTTTTTCATCAGCAGTATATAGCAGCCTTTTGACTTCTATCAATGTCTGGGCAAACACTGGTTAATCTTGTAAGAGCAATTTTCATTCTCCGCAGACTGTCCTATGAGGCTGCATGACCCCTGACCCTCTGTATGGTGCTGCTTGTCCCTGTGCTGATCACATGCACTCTTCCATAAAAAAAAAAACTCTAGCAATACACACCAAACTGAGAATGTGCAGCTTTCCCCCAAGGCTGTGTTCTATCAGCAGATGGATTGGGGACAGTAGAAGGGGGAGGATCAGAGAAGACGGGATTAAACAGCCTTTTTACACAATGCAGAGGATTAACCCCTTAGGTTCCACAGTGAGTATAACAAGCATGCTTTACTGCATATACAGACTGATTTTACTGTTGTGTGTTTAGTAACACTTTAAAGCTCAACTCCAACCTTCCCTTCAGTCTTGCTCAGTTGTACTGCCTCCTCTCCTGAACTGAAGCTGCTTATTCTATTCTCGCTGCATGCTGTGAGCTTCTCACAATGTGCAGTAGAAGCTACGGCAAGTAAGACTGGACCTCATTTCCTGGCTAAGAGACAAAACTGTTGGCGCTATATAAATCCTGTATATTAGTAATAATAACAAATAAATCTCTGCCTTTTTTTTTTTTTTAACCACGGCTTTTCTCTTCCTGTTCTAGGAATTCGGAGACACAGCTTAAAAGGATAAATTCACATTTTAGACAAAAATAATAAATGCACATTTTGTTTGCAGGTAAAAAAATGTGCACTTATTAGTTTTCCAAAGGAGTCTGAAAAGCACTGCACTAGCGATCAGTAGATCGCTTGTGCCATGCAGGTCATTTGCAGACCTGTCAGAATATCTACTTGGCCGTACGGGATGTATGGGGAGTACGGGATGTATGGGATGTATGGGGATGTACGGGATGTACGGGGAGTACGGGATGTATGGGCAAGCAGATATTCTGACAGGAAGATTCAATGAACTACCACAGTGCTCCACAGGGCCGTGGTATTTCATTGAAAACTACAAGCCGACAGCCGCTAAGGGTGTTGGGACTTGCAGTTCAATCATTCACGGGAGTCTGAATGAAAGACGCGACTGTGTGGGCGGAGCCCCGCATGGCCATGCTGCTTTCAAATCTGACAGATAGTATGGGGAAACATCTCTTTGTACTATCTGTCAGAGAAAGGGGGAGGGGGGTCGGCGGGCTGCGGCTATGGGAACACGTTACATGTTCCACCCTAAAAACAGGTGGAAACATGTAACATGTCCCAAAGGTGAACTTATCCCTTTAATCATACCAGAACACGCATCATACATTACAATAGTAAACTAAAAAAAAAATATTTTTTTCCCTAAGCTGTTCATCTTTTTTTTAGTAACTAGCCTTTCTTGTGACTGTGTACTAGTGTATGATTACTTCTTACATTTTTTTATTTTAACATGTTCAAAATAAACAAAAAACTAGAAGCAGTCACCATATCTAAAGGATTGGCAAGCTGCAATGTATTACATTTTTGTTTTTGTGTTTAACGCTGCTTAAAGTCTATATGAACTGTACCCTATAATAGCTATGAAGAAATAAACTTGGATTGTGGAACTCTCAAAGGTGCTGGCATTCTGAGGCTTGCTGCTGTGTGCAGGTAAGGGAGTGTTGCCATGCACTGTCAGCAGGTGGCGCTGTTTCATCTCGGAAAAAAATAGCGATCTGAAAGTGAAGCCGCCATCATTTATTTAAAATTTATTACCAGTATTTACACAATGACAATTTACACAGCCCTGTGTGTGTGTATATATATATATATATATATATATATATATATATATATATATATTAGTACAATATAAGTCCCTGCTCTTAAAGAGTGTACAATCTAAGGTCCCTAACACACATACATACACACACCGTATCCCACAGAAGTGAGTCCACCCCTCACATTTTTTGTAAGTCTTTGATTCTATCTTTTCATGTGACAACACTGAAGAAATGACACTTTGCTACAATGAGACGTAGTCAGTGTACAGCTTGTATAACATGTAACTTTGCTGTCCCCTCAAAATAACTCAACACACAGCCATTAATGTCTAAACCGCTGGCAACAAAAGTGAGTCCACCCCTAAGTGACAAGGTCCAAATTGGGCCCAACTGCCGATTTCCCCTCCCCGGTGTCATGTGACTCGTTAGTGTTACAAGGTCTCAGGTGTGAATGGGGAGCGGGTGTGTTAAATTCAGTGTTATCGCTCTCACTCTCATATACTGGTCACTGGAAGTTCAACATGGCACCTCATGGGAAAGAACTCTGAGGTTCTGAAAAAAAAAATTGTTGCTCTACATAAAGATGGCCTAGGCCAGGGGTCTGCAAACTTTTAAGACATAAAGAGCCACTTGGACCCGTTTCCGAAGGGAAAAAAAAGACTGGGAGCCGCAAAACCATTGCAACATTTAAAACAAGTCCGACACTGCATATATTGTTTCTTACCTTAATGCTATATACAGGATCGTGCAGTTAGCTTCATCCCCCATATAGTAATTCATCCCCCATATAGTAATTCATCCCCCCCTATAGTAATTCATCCCCCCTATAGTAATTCATCCCCCCTATAGTAATTTCCCCCATATAGTAATTCATCCCCCATATAGTAATTCATCCCCATATAGTAATTCATCCCCCATATAGTAATTCATCCCCCATAGTAATTAATCCTCCATATAGTAATTCATCCCCCATAGTAATTCATCCCCCATAGTAATTCATCCCCCATAGTAATTCATCCCCCATAGTAATTCATCCCCCATAGTAATTCATCCCCCATATAGTAATTCATCCCCCATATAGTAATTCATCCCCCATATAGTAATTCATCCCCCATAGTAATTAATCCTCCATATAATAATTCATCCCCCATAGTAATTCATTCCCCATATTGTCTCAATTCACTTACCTTTGCTCCGCGCGTCGCTGTGTTCCCGCGCTGTGTTCCGGTCTTCAGGACGGACTGTGAGAGGAGTTCGTCACGCTGCCCCGCCTACATCCTGACAGCTAATGTTCCACGCTCCGCGGGCCGGATTAAAAGAGTCCTGACTTTTGAGGCGGCCGCCCGAGAGGAGGGAGGGGAGCGGGCGCCCGGCACACAGAAGAGTTGCATGTGGCTTGCGATCCGCGGCTTGCCGACTACTGAAACCCTATTGCCTGTCACCTGGTGGGCAGTGTGCTCCGGAGCACGCAGCAAAGATGAAAAAGCCGCATGCGGCTCTGGAGCCGCGGGTTGCCGACGACACCTGGCCTAGGCTAAGAAGATTGCCAAGACCCTGAAACTGAGCCGCAGCACGGTGATATTTCACACAGTTCATACCCTTCTGCAACCACCCACCTTCTGATTTGCTACATAGTTACAGTGCTGCAGTTTGATCATTGGGGTGAAAGAGACTGATAAAATGATTCCTCTTGCCAACAACAGACTGATGGCATCATCTAAGCCAAGGAAAACCACTGGACTCCAGCTCAAGTATGGCTTTAATGATAAATCTGGGGCTTTACAAAAACTATGCTGGTAACGTACAGCGGGTAAAATAAGTATTGAACACGTCACCATTTTTCTCAGTAAATATTTTCCTAAAGGTGCTATTGACATGAAATTTTCACCACGTCAGTAACAACTCATGCAATCCATACATACAAAGAAACCAAAACAAATAAAAATCAGAAATTAAGTTATGTGTAATAAAATGGAATGACACAGGGAAAAAGTATTGAACACATGAAGAAAGGGAGGTGCAAAAAAAGGCATGGAAAGCCGAGACACCAGCTGAAATCTCAGTAATTAGGGCTCATGTACACTGCAGCTGTTCAGCGTTTTTTTCAGCAGCCCCTGAACTCTCCCTAATGTTTTCCTGTGTCCATGTATACATCGTCGTTTACAGGCATTTGAATTTACAGTCGTTTTTTTGAACGCAGTGAAAATAATTCAAACTGTATGACATTGAATGCCTTTTGCTTTGATCCGTCTGGAATTGTATATTCAGCAGGTTTACACTGGGGGTTCATTTTAGATTTAAAATGTCAGTTCAATCAGTGGTTTTATCAATGTTTCAAATGCAAAACTGCTTGTAAATGCGGCAAATCACGTTTATAAGCGTTTGAACATTTTTTTTTAACTCTTCCAGTTCCCGATGCTGTCATGAAAAATGCATGCAAAGCATTTTCAAGGTACTCAGATGGACAAAACACTGAACACAGGATGTTCCTACCAAGCTTGTCACACATTGTAATGACCAATTCACACCTCAGACCTCTCCCACCCTTGGAAACAAAAGATATGTTAACGCCCATTCACACCTCAAATTCCTCATGAAGACCCCCTGCCAGGGGACCTTAACTCCACCAGACAGATTAAAGAAATGTTAATCTGCAACTCACACCGAAGCTAATCTCAACACATACTGCTGTCTCTGCTTCTACTCTCTGTATTTCTCTGAAACAGTCTGAAATAGTTAATAATTTACCACTTTTCAGTGCATTCTGGGCATTTTAGAGGTTCTCTTGTGCTTATCTTTAAAAAAACGCTTCTAAACGCAAACGCGCATAAATGCGTTATGCAAACGCGGTTAAACAGATGTTTTTTAACCTACGTTTTCCAGCAGTCAGTTTCCATTGTTCAGAAGTGTCCTGTGTACATGGGGCCTTAGGAAGCAATCCTGCCCCTTTTCAGTGCAAATTAATATCAGCTGGTTCAGTCGCGCGGGTGTGGTTCTGGGAGGACGCCCTCCCAGAACTAGCCGACCAAGCGGTAGCCATCTTTTGGTTATACTGCAGTCGGGGAGTGGTAAATATGTATGGGAAGGATGAGGAGCACTGCCCTGGAACTTCCACCCAAAAAAAAAAAACAAAAAAAAAAAAGGTCAGTTACTCAAACTCCAGGGTTCAGTGGTCACCTAGGCTCTGGCAGACCATAAAAGGTGCATTACAGAAGTGGTACTTGAAGTTGAACTCCAGGATAAGCAAATATCTAAATATATTTGTCCTGCGTATTCTTCCTCGAATCTCGGTGAGCTCTTTGTATTCCTTCCAGATCTGTGCTGTCATCCAGTGAGAGTCTTCCTGTAATAAAGACCACTCACTACTGCTCTCTCTCCTTGTGAAGGGTGACTGGTCTTGTCTCCGCCCCCTCCTGTAGTTTTCTGCAGGCAGCCTGTAGTGGGTGGAGCCTGCTGGACCCCTCCACACAAAGTTATATCTGTTTGCAACGGCATTTTGTGCTCACAGAGATTTCATCTAATGGAAGTTTTTGTGCCCAGAATTCAGAATTAGAAAACACTGCCACGGCAATAAAATGCTGCTAATTACTTCCGCAATGCAAAAAAAAAAAAATTAAATCCTAAATTTGTGAGTGGTAACAAAAGCACCACTGGCAGGTAAGGCATGCTGACACTTGTAGTCCCCTCAAGGTTGCCGTGATCACTCACTTACCGTGGCTATGGCCATGTCCACCCTCTCCTTTAAGGTGACGCACAAACTTCTCTACGACCAGGAAGGCGATGATTCCTGCCAGCACCCATAGGCCGACAGACATCATATGGGCGTGGCTGTGATCTGCCAGGAGAAAGCACAGAAACAGAAAGAGTTAATACTGAGAAATTACATCACAGTTTTGTTTTTTTTTTTCTTGGGGGTAAATCTGTAACCCGTCATTTATTTATTTCAGGTACTTATATAACGCCGTCAATTTACGCAGCACTTTACATATATATTGTACATTCACATCAGTCCCTAACCCTCAAGGGGTGTACACTCTAAGGTCCCTAACTCACATTCATACATACACATACTAGGGACAATTTAGACAGGGGCCACTTAACCTATCAGCATGTCTTTGGAGTGTTGGAGGAAACCGGAGTATCCGGAGGAAACCCACACAGGCACAGGGAGAACATGCAAACTCCAGGCAGGTGGTGCCGTGGTTGGGATCCAAACCGACGACCCCAGTACTGCCAGGCAAAAGTGCTAATCATTTAGCCACTGTGCTGCCAACGTCCTTCTGAAAAAAAAATCTTGTAGCCTGGCTGTGATGCTGATCCTTCAATACTTTGAGTCCCTGACCAAGAACAAGCATGCAGCAAGTGAAGTCAAAACTTCCGATTTGCACATTTCTCCTGGGTCAGTGACTCAAAGTACTGAAGCCAAAGGACTAACATGACAGTCAGGCAACTAGTGTTTTCAGGTGGCCAGCACTGCTAGCGTCCATATTTATTTTAGTAAAGGTCTCATTTATTTCTTCCAACTTGTTCCACTGTGACTGGCAAAGCACACTGTTTGTGACAATTAAAGCTGAATTAAACTCTCCCAATCAGCATTGATGTGGACCTTCACCCTCATGACAAGTTGCCTTCAATCCACCCCTCCTCCCCTCTGCTGCACAATTCAGACCCTTTATTCCCCCCTTTATTAATATTAAAGCTCACCCCCACCTGGGCACTCATTTGCCTAAGAGAATGATGTGCACTTTGCCCGCTCTTCCTCCTGGAATATATATATCACATATCCCAGGAGTCTTAGTCCTTTATTGAGAAAGGAGAAGGGGGGCGGGCCTAGTGGCACACGTCATTGGGGGAGCTGCCGAATGAAGGAGAACAGCTGGCAGGTTCCTGATGACGTCACTGAAGAGCAGAGGAGAAGCGGATCTTAGCAGGACAGCTCTGGATACGCTGGGCGGGTGAGTGCCTTAACTGTGTAGGACCGAGGTAATCAGGGGTTTAAAAAAAAAAAAATTGGTGGTGGGAGGGCAAAGTGGAAATCCGCTGTAACTATTTGTAATCCTTATTCTGCTAATCTTCGTAAACAAATAGGAAGGTTTATATTTACTTGTTTTAACCTCCCCCCCCCCCCCCCCCCTTCAGTTGCTTCCTGGTTTCTGGTCCCCCTCTGGTGCTCCTGGCCCCTCCCTCCTGTTGAGTGGCCCCACAGCAAGCAGCTTGCTATGGGGGCATCCAAGCAGGCTCGGTGTCCATTGACACATGGAGGCCTGGCTCTGCCCTGCTCCCTCTCCCTCCTCGGCTCAATGGCTCCTGCTGCTGTCTCCGCCAATGAGGAGAGGGAGCCCCGGGACCCCAGCGCACATCGCCAATGAGGAGAGGAGCCCCGGGACCCCGCGCACATCGCCAATGAGGAGAGGGAGCCCCGGGACTCCAGCGCACATCGCCAATGAGGAGAGGGAGCCCCGGGACTCCAGCGCACATCGCCAATGAGGAGAGGGAGCCCCGGGACCCCAGCGCACATCGCCAATGAGGAGAGGGAGCCCCGGGACCCCAGCGCACATCGCCAATGAGGAGAGGGAGCCCCGGGACCCAGCGCACATCGCCAATGAGGAGAGGGAGCCCCGGGACTCCAGCGCACATCGCCAATGAGGAGAGGGAGCCCCGGGACTCCAGCGCACATCGTACAGAATGCATGAAGGTAACAAACCTTCTACCTTTACAACCACTTTAAGTTTTGGTTATACAGAGATTGTCCAATACAAACCTGGATTAGCAAACTGACATCTAGTAATGAAAGTGTGGATCCCATTGGCTGCAATAAGATGTAATGACTGCTCACCATGAGAATGTCCGTGTCCGTGTTCATGCGACCCATGATGCTCCTCCTCCACCTGGTGATGAGAGTGCGGCTCTAGAGGGGGGGAGACAGAAGTTCATTGAAAGCTACACCATGGCGGCACACACAACTGTAGAGACATTACGGTTTCATACCCAGGGCATGGGGGATAAGGTGCAGGAAGGCATCTCCCAGCAGCCCCCCCGAGGCGAAGCTCAGGAGAAGTTTGAGCAGGGACTGATGCTGGCTGCTGTTGGACTGCACCGGGATCAGGAAGAGGATGAAGAATGGCGCGGCTGAGATCAGCAGCGTGGCACAGATCGCCTGCAAGAGATAAGAAGCCGTTAGATAATCCGTCTGTCCGCAGGAGGAACAGAACAAACAGTGAGAGTAAACAGGACACGCTGGGCCAAACACAATCTGTACAGCAGATGGAGAGCGTCACTGAGAAATGACACGTGTGAGAGATTACAACCGCATGGGAACCCTGGCAACACGAAGGCACATTGCAGCAGAGCTCCCTAACAAAGAGCCGATAATGGATCGGATTATAGGCAAGACAATGAGGACAACACCCAAGACATAGAAATCCACAGCCAATCAGTCCACTCTATGATAGGCAGATCTTAAAGCTGAACTCCAGAGGAGGGTACTTGCCCACCTCCCGTCCAGCCATTGTATATAAACGGCCAGACGGTGGCAGTGTAGGGTCGGGTGGCCGTTTATAAATGGCTTCCCTGCCCCCTGCTTGTGCCCGCCCCCTGGGAGCGCGTAGCACTGCAATCCGTGTCCGCTGTGTCCTCCAGACACAGTGGAACACCGATCGTCGGACAGGACCTCTGTGTGAGGTCCCGATCATGTGATCACTGATTGGCCAATCAGTGATCACATGCAAAGTAGTAAGCAAGAGGTCACTTGTGACATCATTGCTTACTACGTGAGAAATCTGTGAATGATCACAGAGGTCACATGGTACAGGGCTATTCACAACAGCCTTGTACCATGTGACAAGCTGTGACCAATCACAGCTCACTCAGTAGTTCTCAATGGCTGCAAGAATGCAGCCAGAGAGAAGGAGAAATGATTGCTGTTATAGCCTTTATGGGTGTAAAAGCAATCAGTGTAAAAAAAAAAAAATCATCATCACCCCCAAGTAGTACAGTGTCACCATGGTGACACTGTATTGCTAGGGGGACAGTATGTAAAAAAATTGGCCTGGACAGAAAGGGGGTAAAAGTGTCCAGACTGGAAGTGGTTAAGGAATCAGGCAACATGCTCAGAAAGGTGCACTATGGAGATAATTTACGAAAAGTGGAGAGTGTCAAATTTGGAGCAGCTGTGCATGGTAGCCAATCAGCTTCTAACGTCAGCTAGGTCAGATAAGGTGTTACTAAACCCACAACAGTACAATCAGTCTGTATATGCAGTAAAGCATGCTTGTTATACTCACTGTGGAACTTAAGGGGTTAATCCTCTGCATTGTGTAAAAAGGATCCTGTTTTCTCTGATCCTCCCCTTCTTCCACAGTTCCCAATCCATCTCCTGATAGGACAGAGCCTTGGGGGCAACCTGCACATGCTCAGGTTGATGTGCATTGCTAGAGTGCATGTGATCAGTGCTGTCCAGAGGGTCAGGAGTCCTACAGCCTCATAGGACAATTGGGGAGAATGAAAACTCCTCCTACAAGCTTTAGCCAGTGCTCTGCTGGACAGTGACAGAAGTCACAAGACTGCTATATACTGCTGATGAGAAAATATATTTAGCAGTTTATATTTACTAAAATATTTGCATTTCCATGTTCTGTGTACAGTGGGGGACCGGATATAGTGAATGCGGGGTCCGGGGAGAGCGGATATAGTGAATGCGGGGTCCGGGGAGAGCGGTAGTGAATGCGGGGTCCGGGGAGAGCGGATATAGTGAATGCGGGGTCCGGGGAGAGCGGATATAGTGAATGCGGGGTCCGGGGAGAGCGGATATATGTTTGAATGCGGGGTCCGGGGAGAGCGGATATATGTTGAATGCGGGGTCCGGGGAGAGCGGATATATGTTGAATGCGGGGTCCGGGGAGAGCGGATATATGTTGAATGCGGGGTCCGGGGAGAGCGGATATATGTTGAATGCGGGGTCCGGATATATGTTGAATGCGGGGTCCGGGGAGAGCGGATATATGTTGAATGCGGGGTCCGGGGAGAGCGGATATATGTTGAATGCGGGGTCCGGGGAGAGCGGATATATGTTGAATGCGGGGTCCGGGGAGAGCGGATATATGTTGAATGCGAGGTCCGGGGAGAGCGGATATATGTTGAATGCGAGGTCCCGGGAGAGCGGATATAGTGAATGCGGGGTCCGGGAGAGCGGATATAGTGAATGCGGGGTCCGGGGAGAGCGGATATAGTGAATGCGGGGTCCGGGGAGAGCGGATATAGTGAATGCGGGGTCCGGGGAGAGCGGATATAGTGAATGCGGGGTCCGGGGAGAGCGGATATAGTGAATGCGGGGTCCGGGGAGAGCGGATATAGTGAATGCGGGGTCCGGGGAGAGCGGATATAGTGAATGCGGGGTCCGGGGAGAGCGGATATAGTGAATGCGGGGCCCGGGGAGACCGGGGATATAGTGAATGCGGGGTCCGGGGAGACCGGATATAGTGAATGCGGGGTCCGGGGAGAGCGGATATAGTGAATGCGGGGTCCGGGGAGAGCGGATATAGTGAATGCGGGGTCCGGGGAGAGCGGATATAGTGAATGCGGGGTCCGGGGAGAGCGGATATAGTGAATGCGGGGTCCGGGGAGAGCGGATATAGTGAATGCGGGGTCCGGGGAGAGCGGATATAGTGAATGCGGGGTCCGGGGAGAGCGGATATAGTGAATGCGGGGTCCGGGGAGAGCGGATATAGTGAATGCAGGGTCCGGGGAGAGCGGATATAGTGAATGCAGGGTCCGGGGAGACCGGATATAGTGAATGCAGGGTCCGGGGAGAGCGGCTATAGTGAATGCAGGGTCCGGGGAGAGCGGATATAGTGAATGCAGGGTCCGGGGAGAGCGGATATAGTGAATGCAGGGTCCGGGGAGAGCGGATATAGTGAATGCAGGGTCCAGGGTTTAATAACACTAAGCTTTGACAATACATTTTGGAAGCTGATTGGTTCCTATGCACAGCTGCACCAGATTTTGAACTCTCCAGTTTTAGTAAATCAACCCCTTTATCTAACTCTAAACTCCAGGAATTATCTTTTTTTTTTTTTTTTTTAATTCCATTGGTCCAGCTTGGTTACATCTAATTTTTATATCTTGCATTGGGGGGCCCAATAGGGATGCAGAAATTCTCTGTAGTAGCCTGTGCTGTTTTCAGTCTGTGCTGGTCTTTTGCCAGTTGCTGCTCAAGCCACTTGTTGGCAGTATATTGAACACAGGGGGTCGCTTGCTCAGCACCTTTGTCGTTCAGAGAACGTCTTGTATTTTCTTTCCAACAAATACAAGGCATTTTGTGATTGGATGAGAAGGACAGGAGGGTAGATGATAGAACAATCTCTGCCTTGTCCAGTCAGAGAACACTTTGTATTCATTGGGGAAACCCTCCCCCCCCCCAAAAAAAAAATAAAAATCACACGTTCTCTGAATGGGGGGTGGAGAGAACAAGCACCCCGTCAACCCTGTATTCAGTATACAGTAGTGGTGCACTGAAATTAAAATTCTGGACAAAAAACCAAAATTCAGGATGCATTTAGCCAAAAACCGAAAAGGACAGTTTTGTAAAAATATATATATATTTTTTTATATATAAAATTGTATTGTATTCGACTTTTTAATGAATATCATAAATTTAAAAATTAATTTATTTTCAGCACCTTTTTTGGCCAATAGGCTGCTTTCACACCGAGAAGTTTTTGCAGCGGTTTTGTGTACAAAAAAAAAAAAAAAAAAAAAAAAAAAAAAAAGCGCCAGAAAAGTTCAAGAAAAATGCATCCTTTTAAAATCACACTGTCTTCATGCTGGTCCATTGCGCTTCTCGTTACAGCTTGCCGCATTTTTGGTGCATATTTGGCGAGTTAAAAAAAAAAATGCGCTTTCCCGTTGAGACCTGGTTCACACAATGCGTTTGCAGGGAACGCACTACAGCCCATTTAACATGCTTTCCTGGGGGACATGTTTACATCTATGCTTTTTGGAGCTGCTGCGCTTTTGGAAAGGGTGCATTTTTAGTTCAACAGACTTCAATGGAGACTCTGAAGAAAATACATGGTGCATTTTTTTTACGTGTTTTTCACGCGGTTGGGTGTTTTTGATGTGTTTTTAATCTGCCCAGCAACAAGTTCACCTCCCCTCACCCCCCCCCAAAACACAAACTGTGTTGGTGTGAACCAGGCCTGAAATGCATTGAAAATGCACCAAAAATGCACGTGATGTGTTTTTGAGTCACATGACCTATGAAAAACGCACCCTAAACGTGGTACAATTGCAGGTAAAAATATTTTTTTTTGGTGGTCATTATCAACTTTTTTCCTATTGGCAAAATGCCAACACTTTCTGCCCGACGATAGATCGGTGCCTCCCCTATTCCATAGAGTGCAAGTTGTTTGCGCAGCATCCAGGAGAGACCAGCGACGACCATAGACTTTGTGTATCCTATAAAGGCAGAATATACCTTTCTGGCCAGGATTCATGACGTATTGATATTCATGGTGTAACATTAGACAAGGTTGCATTCCTCATCCCCCCAAATCTCAGACCAGCTCCTCTCACTTGTCAATGGCAGAGTGCTTCTCCCTGCCTTCCGCCTGGGTCTGAATTCGGCAGGACTGTGTGGGCGGAGCCAAGCCAGGGATCCTTGAATGGAAAGACTCCATGACACCATGGCAGATGGGACTTTTAGTGCATGCCTTGCGATTGTCTATTTCCGCCAGATCCATACCTCTACATGGACTAGGGGCTGGGGGTAAACAATGGAAGAGCCTGAGCAGTACCCCTGAAATGCAATGCCCCCGGTTGCAATGCTCTGCAGGCTTCAATACATTTTTTTTTTTTTTTTTTAATGGGGTGGATACATTTTTGGAAAAGGTGGACTATGCCTTTAAAGCTCAATTTTCAAAGTTTGTTTTCTTTATCTGGCTTGTGTGCGGCACCCTACGTGGACTGTGTGCGGCACCCTACGTGGACTGTGTGCGGCACCCTACGTGGACTGTGTGCGGCACCCTACGTGGACTGTGTGCGGCACCCTACGTGGACTGTGTGCGGCACCCTACGTGGACTGTGTGCGGCACCCTACGTGGACTGTGTGCGGCACCCTACGTGGACTGTGTGCGGCACCCTACGTGGACTGTGTGCGGCACCCTACGTGGACTGTGTGCGGCACCCTACGTGGACTGTGTGCGGCACCCTACGTGGACTGTGTGCGGCACCCTACGTGGACTGTGTGCGGCACCCTACGTGGACTGTGTGCGGCACCCTACGTGGACTGTGTGCGGCACCCTACGTGGACTGTGTGCGGCACCCTACGTGGACTGTGTGCGGCACCCTACGTGGACTGTGTGCGGCACCCTACGTGGACTGTGTGCGGCACCCTACGTGGACTGTGTGCGGCACCCTACGTGGACTGTGTGCGGCACCCTACGTGGACTGTGTGCGGCACCCTACGTGGACTGTGTGCGGCACCCTACGTGGACTGTGTGCGGCACCCTACGTGGACTGTGTGCGGCACCCTACGTGGACTGTGTGCGGCACCCTACGTGGACTGTGTGCGGCACCCTACGTGGACTGTGTGCGGCACCCTACGTGGACTGTGTGCGGCACCCTACGTGGACTGTGTGCGGCACCCTACGTGGACTGTGTGCGGCACCCTACGTGGACTGTGTGCGGCACCCTACGTGGACTGTGTGCGGCACCCTACGTGGACTGTGTGCGGCACCCTACGTGGACTGTGTGCGGCACCCTACGTGGACTGTGTGCGGCACCCTACGTGGACTGTGTGCGGCACCCTACGTGGACTGTGTGCGGCACCCTACGTGGACTGTGTGCGGCACCCTACGTGGACTGTGTGCGGCACCCTACGTGGACTGTGTGCAGTATCATACATGGACATCAGTCTCTGGGGAATGCCCACACCTGTTACTGCTCAGGGTTCCTCAGCACAGAGGACGGCCCCTGAGGGATTACTCTCGGTCACGGCGAGGCTGACAGATACGGCAATCTGGAGCTGAAACCAAGACCGGTAACCGAAGACCCGGGTCACATATATGAGAATTGGATGTGTTTTGAACCGCATTGGATCTGCATGACGTGATCCAAAAGCCTTTTCTATTAAACCGATTCATAATATGTAGCTGTGTTCAGAATTAAGCAATCACATTCAAAATCATGTTAGAGGACTCCGTACACACCCGCCATCATTTAAAGTGCCTCTGATTAACCCCAAATAAAGTTCAGCTGTTCTAGTCTGTCTTTCCTGACCTTTTCTTAGTCGCATCCTACAGCAAAAGCCATGGTCTGCAGAGAGCTTCCAAAGCATCAGAGGGATCTCATTGTTAAGGTATCAGTCAGGAGAAGGGTACACAGGAATTTCCAAGGCATTAGATATACCATGGAACACAGTCACCATCAAGTGGAGACAATATGACAACAGTGACATTACCAAGAACTGGACGTCCCTCCAAAATTGATGAAAAGACGAGAAGAAAAACTGGTCTGGGAGGCGGCCAAGAGGCCTACAGCAACATGAAAGGAGCTGCAGGAATATCTGGCTGTGTGGTCCATGTGACAACAATCTCCCGTATTCTTCCTATGTCTGGGCTATGGGGTAGAGGGGGAAGACGGAAGCCTTTTCTTATAAAGAAAACCATCCAAGCCCGGCTACATTTTGCAAAGACACATCTGAAGTCTCCCCAAAGCATGTGCGAAAATGTGTTCTGGTCCAATGAAACCAAGGTTGGACTAATTGGTCAGAGCCCAGACCTGAACCCGAGGGAAAATCTGTGGGGTGCTGTGAAGAGGGCTGTGCACAGGAGATGCCCTCGTAATCTGACAGGGCAGAGTGTTCTTGCAAAGAAGAGCGGGCAAATATTGCCAAGTCATGCCATGCTGATACGGATAAGGATGGTATAAAGTGAGCGCTCCTAACCAAGCAGCTAGCACTAAAGGTAATCACAGTGTACCCATAAAAAGCAGAATAATAATAACAGAGTGCAGCGCTACGAAATAAATGCAAAAAGCAAATAGTCCGTGGTTATTCACTAAATAAAAATATATAGTCCCAAGAAAAAGCTGATGAAGACCAGGAAGCAATGGAAAGAGTGCGCACTCACCGGACGCGCATGGAAAATGCGCATAAATGAATATCTCCTGGAATCCTAGAGTAGAAGGAGAGGGTGAACTCCAATCTGTGGATCAATCAGCCTGGGAAGATATATCAGAGATCCGGAGGTCCCCTTAAGGTTGGTATGATTATCAGCCAGACTCCAAAAGCTCCGTCCCTCTGGTGGTATCCCCTCTCTGATGATGTGCTTGGACACGAAAGGCCTTAGGAGGAACCGACAGAGCATGACGTCATCTTCTGCCCGGAGCCACGAGACAGCCCCGCGGCCATTTTAATTTAGGGTCAGTACCATTGCTGCGTACTCTGCTATAATATATGTACTGTACACAGCCTTACTACCCTGCCTGTTATTTGAGTTCTACTTAATAAATATATTTTAAAATACTACACTATGGGCACCTGTTTTTTGGTTCCCATTGGGAGCTAAATCCATTTGCAGGATCCCTGTAGTGCTCACCTATCACCACCAGAGGGACGGAGCTTTTGGAGTCTGGCTGATAATCATACCAACCTTAAGGGGACCTCCGGATCTCTGATATATCTTCCCAGGCTGATTGATCCACAGATTGGAGTTCACCCTCTCCTTCTACTCTAGGATTCCAGGAGATATTCATTTATGCGCATTTTCCATGCGCGTCCGGTGAGTGCGCACTCTTTCCATTGCTTCCTGGTCTTCATCAGCTTTTTCTTGGGACTATATATTTTTATTTAGTGAATAACCACGGACTATTTGCTTTTTGCATTTATTTCGTAGCGCTGCACTCTGTTATTATCATGCTGATAGACTCCTCCTCCCCAAAGACTGAGTGCTGGAATCACAGCAAAAGGGGCTTTTGAAAAACGCGGTCCACGTGGTCAACTGATTGAAAGAGACAAAAGGACATTGCGCAGGATTGTGACCCGGAATAAGAAAACAATAGTTGCTCAATAGTGATTGCAGAGCTCAATCTCAGTGATTGCAGCTCAATCTCGTGACTGCAGAGCTCAATTCAGCCTCCGTGACTGCAGAGCTCAATCTCAGCCTCCGTGACTGCAGAGCTCAGCCTCCGTGACTGCAGAGCTCAGCCTCCGTGACTGCAGAGCTCAGCCTCCGTGACTGCAGAGCTCAGCCTCCGTGACTGCAGAGCTCAGCCTCCGTGACTGCAGAGCTCAGCCTCCGTGACTGCAGAGCTCAGCCTCCGTGACTGCAGAGCTCAGCCTCCGTGACTGCAGAGCTCAATCTCAGTCCGGTGGCGAATGAGTCCCTGTGAAGACTGAGATTGAGCTCTGCAGTCACTTTTGCAGCAGTTGATTTCTTATTCCGGGTCACAATCCTGCGCAATGTCCTTTCATTTTTATTCGGTCAGTTGACCATGTCGACCGCACTTATGCCTGTCAGATGAAGTTTTCCCGGGAACTGTATACGCCGCCATAACCTCTGATACTGGACCTCGCGACACGGCAAATAAACTGGCAACTTCAGTCACAGAGACGCCAGCTAAGCGGCACCAACAATTTTCCCTCTTAGCTCAGTAAGCTCTGACATGGCTCTGCGTTACTAGCAACGAACACAGGGAATGATGAAAGTGAGGCTTCCCACCTAGCTAGGGGTCTCATCACACAGCGGAGGCCAAAGAATGTTACATCACTTCCGCTTTCACAGTGAAACACGTTATCACTTTTGCACCTGCAAATCATATGAGTTTCCTTTTTTTTGTCCAACCCCTGTACATTTTAACTGCGTATTTGTTTACCGTGAGTTCTTCTTTAGGCTGATTATTGCTAAAAAAAAAAAAAAAAATAATGAAGAAGGCGGTCACACTTACATAGGTCCAGAGTGTCACAGGGTCCAGCTTCTCTCTTGCCCCCTGTGGCAAGGGAGGTGGGGAGTCCACGGTGGCTTCTCTTTTAGCAAGCTGTTCAGCGGCCTCCTGGGGTGGTGCATCTCCAAACTGCCAGCGGCTCCTGAATGCATCAAGATCATCCTGACCGTGCTCGTGGTGGCCCTCGTGACCGTGCCCGTGGTGGCCCTCTTGACCGTGGTGGCCCCCGTGACTGTGCTCGTGGTGGCCCCGTGACGTGGTGGCCCCCGTGACTGTGCCCGTGGTGGCCCTCGTGACTGTGCCCGTGGTGGCCCTCGTGACTGTGCCCGTGGTGATGGAGGCTGTGCCCATGATGTCCATGGCTGTGACCGTGATGACCTTCATGACTGTGCCCGTGGTGAAGATCTTCATGGCTGTGTCCGTGGTGAAGATCTTCATGGCTGTGTCCGTGGTGATTCTGAGCCAATGCAGTGCACAGCAGATTTACCGCCACCAAGGCCAGCAATGTGGCACAGGCCACTCGCCCTCCTTTCTCCCAGACTCGACCCATCTCACCTGAAGGATAAAAACAGAAGCGGTGAGGGTAAAGGAGAGCCCAAGCTGTACTCCTGACATGCAATCATCCCGGGTGCAATGCTCTGCAGACTTCAATACCAAAATAGAAGAAGTGTAAACTTTTTTTTTTGGCGGTGAATATTCCAGGAAAAGGTGGACTGTGCCACTAAAGCAGAATTGTAGTTTGTTTTTCTCGATCTGGACTGTGTGCGGCACCCTACGTGGACTGTGTGCGGCACCCTACGTGGACTGTGTGCGGCACCCTACGTGGACTGTGTGCGGCACCCTACGTGGACTGTGTGCGGCACCCTACGTGGGACTGTGTGCGGCACCCTACGTGGACTGTGTGCGGCACCCTACGTGGGACTGTGTGCGGCACCCTACGTGGACTGTGTGCGGCACCCTACGTGGACTGTGTGCAGTATCATACATGGACATCAATCTCTGGGGAATGCCCACACCTGTTACTGCTCAGGGTTCCTCAGCACAGAGGACGGCCCCTGAGGGATTACTCTCGGTCACGGCGAGGCTGACAGATACGGCAATCTGGAGCTGAAACCAAGACCGGCCGCCTGTGGCCTCAGGCACTGTGTTAGGCTCCATACACAGCATTGATTAGGTGACTTCACACTGACGAGTCTTTGAAGGATTTTTTGCATTTAAAAGCTCAAGAAAAATGCTTCCCTGTGTATGTGAATGTACGTCTATGTATGTCCATGTATGTACGCAAATGTATGTCTATGTATGTGAATGTATATCCATGTATGTGTGAATGTACATCTATGTATGTGAATGTACCAAATGTATGTGAATGTACGTGAATGTACGCAAATGTATGTCTATGTATGTGAATGTACGCAAATGTACGTCTATGTATGTATGTGAATGTACGCAAATGTATGTCTATGTATGTGAATGTATGCCTATGTGTGTGAATGTACATCTATGTATATCCATGTATGTGAATGTACATGTATGTGAATGTATATCTGTATGTGAATGTACATCTATGAATGTGAATATACATGAATGTATATCTGTGTGTGAATGTACATCTATGTACGTATGTGAATGTACATCTATGTGTGTGAATGTACATCTATGTACGTATGTGAATGTACATCTATGTACGTATGTGAATGTACATCTATGTACGTATGTGAATGTACATCTATGTACGTATGTGAATGTACATCTATGTACGTATGTGAATGTACATCTATGTACGTATGTGAATGTACATCTATGTACGTATGTGAATGTACATCTATGTACGTATGTGAATGTACATCTATGTACGTATGTGAATGTATATCTATGTGTGTTTTCACACTGAGGCTTTGCACTTGCAGGGCGGTGTAAAAACTCCTCCTTGCAGCATCTCTGGGGAGTAAAGAAAAAAAAAATGCCCCAAAAACGCCTCTTCCATTGTAATCAGTGGAAAATGCCAGAAAAAAGTGCCTCTGAGAAGTGTTTTTGGTGCAGTTTTTAAGTCACGTGTCCTTTAACCGCTTAAGGACCGCCCTATAGCAGATATACTGCTACAGGGCCGCACCTCTGCGCTGAATCACGTGTATATATGTCATTGTACATCTCCAGGTAGGGGGCGTGTGTGCACCCTACCCATGCCGCCATTCGTGGCCGCGGATGTCAATCGCTGGGTCCTGCCCGGTAATTATCCGCCGGCACCCGGTGATTACTGAGCATCTCTGATGGGAAGGAAGACTATTATTTACAAACAACATTCTTCCTCCGTCAGCTGGAGCTCACTGCTCTGGATGGCGGTGCACAGTACAGCCATCCTGATCAGTGTGCTTACAGTGAAGCACACACCACAGCCCACTAGTAAAACACTCCCAGCACACAGTTAACCCTTTGATCGCCCCACATGTTAACCCTTTCCTGCCCAGTGCCATTAGTACAGTGTCAGTGCTTTTTTTTTTTCTTCCTAGCACGGATGATTCATGCAGCGATGACAAGATATCGTCCCGCCTGTCTGAGGACACCGATAGAAGTTGGTGGCACAGGAAGTGTTTGGCCCAATAAGCACACAAGGCTCTGTGTAATGGTTGTGCACAGAGCAGCTCGATCCTCTTCTGATTCCCCACGCTGGCGCTCCTAACCCCTCCCCCGGCCGAGTGCCACTAGAGCCCAGAGAGTGGCTCCCTCTTCACACATGGATGGAGGGGGCTCAGATGAGTATTGGGGGGGGAGGGGCGGCACACACAGATTTTTTACCTTCATGTATGGACTGTAAGAAAGTAACAAACAGTTTTCTTCTGGCAATCACATTGCGTTTTACGATCTGTTTTGGGGTTCCATTGACACCCGGCACCAGATCTCATGAATGGACGTGACCGCTCAGGACTCGCAGCATTTCCTGTATTAGTGTGAGCCGGGGCTGAACGGGCTTGTGACACCATGAGGTGGGGGGTGGGGTTTAGGGTCATGCGAGCGACGTGATTGGCGGTGACACGATTGGAAAGGTCGCGATCACAAGTAGCAATGGTTACCTTTCCGCAAGTCGCAGGTAAACATGTCGGGAGCCCGCAGGGCGCACACTCTCAGCACGTGTTTACTGTCGGGGCACAAATATACGTCCCAAGGCCGAGCCGCCGAGAAGTCGCATATCTGCGTACCGCCGGGACCAACGGGGTCTGTCCTCCTGGTACATCGTGTACACCTGAAAGGAGATTGTATAGTCGGGCGGCCCCACGGCGATATATCACTGCATCAGAATCACACGGATACAAGGGTACATGGCTTCCAGTGACACCATCCGCACCTCGGAGGAGATTGTACAAATTGTATGATCGTCTTGGAGGAGGTCGTACAATCAGCTTGCACGGTGTATGGACACCTCAGAGAAGGCTGTACAATCAGATTGTATGGTCACCTCGGAGTAGAATGCACGGTGTGTCGGTCACCTCAGAAGACGTACAATCAGATTGTACAGTGGTGTATGGTCACCTCGGAGGAGATTGCACAGAATGCACGGTGCATGGTCACCTCGGAGGACGTACAATCAGATTGTACAGTGGTGTATGGTCACCTCGGAGGAGATTGCACAGAATGCAGTGTATGGTCACCTCGGAGGACGTACAATCAGAGTGTACAGTGGTGTATGGTCACCTCAGAGGAGGACGTACAATCAGATTTGTATGGTCACCTCGGAGGAGATTGCACAGAATGCACGGTGTATGGTCACCTCGGAGGACGTACAATCAGATTATACAGTGGTGTATGGTCACCTCAGACCACGTACAATCAGATTGTATGGTCACCTCGGAGGAGATTGCACAGAATGCACGGTGTATGGTCACCTCGGAGGACGTACAATCAGATTATACAGTGGTGTATGGTCACCTCGGAGGAGGTCGTACAATCAGGTTGTACAGTGTATGGTCACCTCGGAGGAGATTGTACAGATTACACGGTGTATTGTCACCTCGGAGGAGGTCTTACAATCAGATTGTACGGTCAGCTGAGGTCTCTCTCCTCTCTGGTCACACAGGAGGCCCCCAGTCGGAGTCGCGGTTGGGCACACAGCCCACTCTGGGGTCACTATGACACTACAAGTCCCAGGAGTCCCCCAGGCAGGCGGTGCATGCTGGGAAATGTGGCCCCGGCCCGCCCCTAGTCCCCCGTAGTCTCCGGAGCCCTCAGCCCGCACTCACCGGTACAGTTCAGACGTGGCACAATACAATCCGGCTCACAATCCCGCGAGAGCGCAGCCACCGGAAACACGTCACTGCCGCCCCCGGAAGTGCCCACAGTAGACATGGCGCGCCCCGCGGGAACACGTGGTTGCGGATCGGATGTTCTCAAGTGGCGGCGGGGTCGTGTCTCCGGGGGCTTTCTTGTCTGACGGCAGTTCTGAGATAGACGTTGGGGCGGAATACGTGTACTGAGTGATATGCTGAGACTTGTAGTTCCACACGGACTCAGGGCACTGTGTGCTTGGGCTATGTAGTAGTATACTGGGCTAAACCTAATCTGTATACAAATGCCCCTCCCCCAACAACGCTGTATGTACTTACCGAAGTACAGCCTGTTCTAATCACATGACCCAGCTCCACTGGCCCTAGGGCTGCCACTTTCTGTGCTCGCCTCCAGGACTTCTCCCACCCTATGGAACTCTGTACCCCAATCTATTTGGCTATCTTCTAATCTATCCACCTTTAGATGATCCCTACAAGCCCCTCTCTTTAAAGAAGTCTATCCTGCTTCTAAATAGTAAACTGCCTTTTATTTCCTCTATCAGCCCATCCCCCACAGCTATTACCTTTTGTATCCCTCAACCCTTCCTCCTAGAGATTGTAAACTTTAACAAGCCGGGCCCTCTGTTTCCTCTTGTACCAAATTGTATTGTAAGTAATGTCTACCTTCATTTTGTACAGCGCTGAGCAAAAGGCGCTATATAAGCCCTGTATATTAATAATAATAATCCTTTTTTAGAGCCGAACTCACATTAACTGCTTCCCATCCGCCCTATAGCAGAAATACTGTTACAGGGTGGCAGGGGTGCGCAAAATCACGTATTTATAGAAGAATAGTTACCATAGAAGAAGAATTACTGTAGAAGAAGAGTTACCATGGAAAAAGAGTTACCATGGAAAAAGAGTTACCATGGAAAAAGAGTTACCATGGAAAAAGAGTTACCATGGAAAAAGAGTTACCATGGAAAAAGAGTTACCATGGAAAAAGAGTTACCATGGAAAAAGAGTTACCATGGAAAAAGAGTTACCATGGAAAAAGAGTTACCATGGAAAAAGAGTTACCATGGAAAAAGAGTTACCATGGAAAAAAAAGAAGAATATTTACCATGGAAAAAGAGTTACCATGGAAAAGAGATGGAAGAAGAGTTACCATGGAAAAAGAGTTACCATGGAAAAAGAGTTACCATAGAAGAAGAGTTACCATGGAAGAAGGTTACCATAGAAGAAGGGTTACCATGGAAGAAGGGTTACCATAGAAGAAGGGTTACCATAGAAG